GGGCCTGGGGAGGAAGAGGGAGGGGCCTGGGGAGGAAGAGGGAGGGGCCTGGGGAGGCAAGATGGGGGGGCCTGGGGGAGGAAGAGAGGGGGGCTCTGTGGAGGAAGGAAGAGGGAGGGGACTGGGGAGGAAGAGGGAGGGGGGTGCCTGGAGGAAAGAGAGAGTGGGCCTGGGGGAGGAAGAGGGAGGGGCCTGGGGGAGGAGAGCAGGGAGGGCCTGGTGAGGAAGAGGGAGGTGCCTGGTCGGAAGAGGAGGGGCCTTGGGAGGAAGAGGGAGGGGCCTGTGGAGGAAGGGGAGGGGCCTGTGGAGGAAGAGGGACGTGGCCTGGGGCGGAAGCGGAGGGTCCTGGGAGGAGGAAGAGAGAGGGGCCTGGGAGGAAGAGAGAGGGGCCTGGAGAGGAAGAGAGAGGGGCCTGGGGAGGAAAGAGGAGCGGGGCCCTGGGAGGAAGAGGGAGGGGCCTGGGGAGGAAGAGGGAGGGGCCTGGGGGGAAGAGGGAGGGGACTGGGGGGGAAGAGGGGGGAGGGGCTGGTAGGAAGAGAGAGGTGCCTGGGGAGGAAGAGAGCGGGGCCTGGGAGGAAGAGGGAGGGGCCTGGGGAGGAAGAGGGGGGGCCTGGGGAGGAAGAGAGAGGGGCCTGGGGAGGAAGAGGGAGGGGACTGGGGAGGAAGGGGGAGGGGCCTGGGAGGAAGAGAGAGGGGCCTGGGGAGGAAGAGGGAGGGGCCTGGGGAGGAAGAGAGAGGGGCCTGGGGAGGAAGAGAGAGGGGCCTGGGGAGGAAGAGGGAGGGGCCTGGGGAGGAAGAGGGGGGGCCTGGGGAGGAAGAGGGAGGGGCCTGGGGAGGAAGAGGGAGGGGACTGGGGGGGAAGAGGGCGGGGCCTGGGAGGAAGAGAGAGGGGCCTGGGGAGGAAGAGAGAGGGGCCTGGGGAGGAAGAGGGAGGGGCCTGGGGAGGAAGAGGGGGGGCCTGGGAGGAAGAGAGAGGGGCCTGGGGAGGAAGAGGGAGGGGACTGGGGAGGAAGAGGGAGGGGCCTGGGGAGGAAGAGGGAGGGGCCTGGGAGGAAGAGAGAGGGGCCTGGGAGGAAGAGGGAGGGGCCTGGGGAGGAAGAGGGAGGGGACTGGGGAGGAAGAGGGAGGGCCTGGGGAGGAAGAGGGAGGGGCCTGGGAGGAAGTGGGAGGGCCTGGGAGGAAGAGGGAGGGGCCCGGGGAGGAAGAGGGAGGGGCCTGGGGAGGAAGAGAGAGGGGCCTGGGGAGGAAGAGGGAGGGGCCTGGGGAGGAAGAGGGAGGGGCCCGGGGTGGAAGAGAGAGGGGCCTGGGGAGGAAGAGAGAGGGGCCTGGGGAGGAAGAGGGAGGGGCCCGGGGAGGAAGAGAGAGGGGCCTGGAGGAAGAGAGAGGGCAGCCCGGCTGGGTGGCGGTGGCAGGTGAGCCGCCCGGCCTGTGGTGCACCCTCAGAGAGCCTGGCCCGGACGTGCCCTCGGAGAGGCCGTGGCTCCCCCTGACAATTCTCCGGGAGCTGGAGGACATCCTCCCGCTCTCTCCCGGGAATCGCTTGCCCCGCTGGCTGGCAGCTGTGGCTGTCAGGGACCTGAGGGAGCACTGGGCCCCTCTCCAGGGGGAAGAAGGGGGGCGGGGAGGAGAGGTGGCAATGGGGGTGGGGAATGCACCCGAGACTAGCAAAACACCGCCTGGTCCCAAAGGGCCACGGGGGAGGCTCCAAACCACAGGCATCCACTCTCCGAGCCAGAGGCCAAAGTCCACCCTCCCGGCTGCCCCGTCCAGCTTCCAGGCTCCGCAGCCTGCCGCCCCTTGGCCTGAAGAAGCTTCCCTCCAACCTCTCCCCGGGCCTCTGCATGCCTCCCCTCTTCCAACAAGGACCCAGTCACGGGATTTGGGGTGCACCTTCATCCAGGCTGGCCGCAGCTTCTCTTCATCACTGCTGCCCAGACCTTGTTCCCAAATAAGGCTCCTCTGAGGTCCCGCGGGGGTGTGAATCGGGGGGAGGACAGAGGGAGCAGTATTCCACCCGTGGGAACACCTTCTCTTCCTGACACCCGGATCCCCATTGCACAGGCAGGACCCCGGTGTCGAGGGAAATTACCTGGCCTCTTCCAATCCCCACAGCTAGGACAGGGGAGAGGGGGTGAGAGCCGGCACCCAGCCCAGCCCGGGGCTGGCGCTGCCTTGGGATTCCACGAAGCCCCCTCTCCAGAGCCATCAGCTCGGGGTGAGCTAGGCGTATGTACTGCATCATCTGCCCATTTCACAGATGAGGAGACTGAGGCCAAAGGCGAGGGGTGGGGGAAGGCGAGTCACGGAGCTGGCCAAGATCACGCGGGAGCAGGTGGCCTGGCCCCTGGCGTTCTTCCCCCGCTTGGAACATTGTGTCTTGGTGACGGCGGGAGGAAAGAAGCCAGGCACAGTGGGAGTGACTCCAGCAACGTGAGCCGTCCAGATCCGGGGGAGCTGGAGCCCGAGGAGGCGGTGAGGAGGAGGATGGAGCGGCTGCGGGAGGTGGAGGGGTCTCGCCCCAGGGAGATGGATGTGTCCTGGAGCGAGACAGCCCCTCGAATCCTCAACGCCTCCGCACACTCCCCCGCTTATGACTCGTCTTTAAAAAGTCTCGGGGAAGTGGCTCCTCAGGCCCAGGAGATGCCAAGTCCGCCTGTTGGGGTGCAAACAGCCGAAGGGCCCCTGGAGCTGTCTCAGGGGTTCTTGTCCCTCTGGCCTGGCAGGCGGCTCCCAGGCACCCTCGCTGGGCCTCACTCTCCTCCCGACTGACGGTGGGGGGTCAAGACTCAGAGAGCTCAGCCGAGGGTGAGACATTCTGATGGGCCCCTTCACCGCAGCCAAAGCCCACAAACAAACCGTTAACCGCTCAGTCACGGCTCTTGCTAAACCACAACTTCCTCGCTCTCCCCTGACCCCGCACCCCCCCTCGGCGGTGGCTGAGTGAGCCTCTGCAGCGCTCAGGGATTGAGTAACGGGAGATAGGGAGGCACACCGCTGGGGTGACGCACAGAGACGTCACCCCCCGAATCCCAGAGACTGCACCAAGGGGCCTTGGGATTGGACGGTAGCCCTGTCACTCGCCAGTTCCCGTCGAGTCACCTGTGTTCAGTCTGCACCCCTGCCCAGGCCTCACTGGCTCCAGCGGGGCAGACCCGGAAGCTGGGCCCATTTTCGGTTCTGATTCCACCAGAGGCCCACCTGGGCTTCTCCCGTCGCACCAGCTGGCTGGGACTGTGGAGGGGCCGGAGTCGCGGGCGTCAGTGTCCCTGGGCTGGGGTGGGGGAGGCGGAGGGAGGCCCTCCCAGCCCTTCCCACCTGCGCAGGCCCCAGGCACAGCTCCCTCTGGCTGCAGACCCCTTGAGAAAGGCTCGTGGCTCTGAACAAAGTCCCTGAGGAGAGGGCTCCCTGGAGCCCAACTTTCTCCAAGCCCAAGGATGATGCTGAGGGTGCAGCTGCTGGGAAGTGGGGGCACCGGGAGACTGGAATCTCTGCTGGACTCTGTCCAGGCATTTGTGTCCAATATGGCTGGAGGGTAGAGCCTGAGCCAGAGAGCAGAGAGAGGGAAAGACACAGGCAGGGCTCAGCTGCTGGCAGTTCCTGCAAGCCACATTATGGCTGTGGAACTTAGAAGTGGAGCAGTCCTGAACATTTCCTGTTAGAGGGCACCATTGTCACCCTCACCATCATCTTCATCATCTTCGTCTTCACGTCACCATCCAGCATCACCACTATCACCATCATCTTTGTCATCACCATCATTACCATCACCATAACCACTACCATCATCACCACCACTATCACCATCACCATCATCACCATTATCACTATCACCATCACCATCATCACCATCGTCATCACCATCATGACAGCTCACACATGTTGAGTGCCAACTCTGTACCAGGCACGGTGCCAAACACTTTCACACACTGATTCTGTTAGCAGTTCTTTGAGGTAGAGGCCATTGTTACCATCCCCATTTTATGGATGTAAATGTAGACTCAGAAAGGATGAGTGAGATACGCAAGACCACACAGCAAATCAGAGCCCAAGCCAGAACCAGAACTGGAATCCAGGCCTGCCCGGTCCCAAAGCCTTAGCTCCTAAACACGCCTTTTTTCTTTTTTTTTTTTTTTTTTTTTTTTACAATGACAGCTGCTCTACCGTGGTATTTGCATTCTTCAAGGCCATCATTGGCTGCAGAGTAGAGACTGAGCATTGGGAAGTGGGAGTGGCTAACATTGGAGGTGGGGAGGGAAATAGAGATGATGGCTAGACAGGAAAAAGAAGATACATCAGGGAACAGGTGGAATCTGAGATCTACTAAGGGAAAGGGATGCAGGAGGGGGGCACTTAGGGGCAACCAGGCTGGCAGGGGGGGCAGTTAGGGGCGATTAGGTAGTTAGGAGCCAGTGGTCCCAGATTGTGAGAGGGGTGTCCGACTGCTAGCTTAGGCTCAACCCCCAGATTGAGTTTATACTGGCAGTCAGACATCTTCTGAGGGGTCCCAGATTAGAGAGGGTGCAGGCTGGGCTGAGGGGACACCCCAGAACCCATGCACAAATTTCATGCATTGGGTCTCATACAAAAATTGATATAATATAAGTAGGTGTTACACATGAACACTGGAGTCACTGCATCTCTGTGATTCTGGGGCCTTTCGGGCCCCACAGACACCTGGCGGGAGCTTGGTAATGAGTCACCAGCGTAGGAACACAGGACGGGGCAAATATCCCAATCCATTCGGTTCCCTTGAATTTCTACTTGTGTGTATTTCAGGGTGTGCACTGTAATATGTGCTCATAAGTACACGTATTGGGTATAAGTAACTAACATTCTTTTACTTATAAGGATATGCAACCTCGGATAAAAGCTGGTCTACAGGGCAAACGCCCTAAAGGAGTTTTGGCGGAAATAGATGGAAACCCCATGGCTTCCTTCCGACCGCCGGTGTCCCCAGGGAGCTCAGGGGCTCCGGAGCGGAAACAAAAGAAAGAAGGAACTCTGCAAACACTCCTCCATTTATTACGCGCACGGACAGACACGCGGACACTGCCCAGCCCTCTCTCCTTGTATGTGAAATGTGCCTCCTGACAGACTGACCGCTCAGGGGCTCTCCTGGGACCGAGGCTCTTTAGCGAGGTAGCAACATGACCCTCAGGGGGCTCCCTCCCGTAGGATGACCGCTGCTCGGACCCCACGCGGTCGGCTGTCCACTAGGGGCCCGGGGCTGTGACGCGGCTCTGCTCACAGGAGCCCCTTCGACCCCCCACATGCCCACGGACGCGTGGGGGCCACGCTGGCCAAGCACGGCCTCCTCTCCTTCCACTCGCAGTGCACGCGTGGCTTAGCTTCCCGCTGGCAGAATGGTGGCTCCTTCTCACTCCATTTCCCTTTTCCAGCCACAAGTGTGTCTGTGTCCTGGGCAGAGGGCGGTGGCCGGCCAGGGCAGGGCTGGCACGGGGAGGGAATCTTCTGGTCGTGAAGTCTGCAGCTGGAGGGGGCAGGATTTATGGGCTCAGATCCTCCTGGCCCCTCGGGTTCCGGCCGCCCCGGACCCCGCTCTCTGTGTGTAAGGACGCCTCACAGGTACGTAGCACCATTGTTCTCCAAAGTCCTTCTGTGCTGGTGTCCTTCTTGATTCCTCACCACTTCGTGTCACAGAGGGGGAAACCGAGGCAGGGACCAGGGGATGTGTGACGGGTGGTGGGAGCGCTGGGGCGCCAGGCTCCTCCCCGTCTGCTCTGGCGCAGTGCTCAGTGGTCCCCTTGCGAACCCGTGAGCTCCTCCAGATGGAGGCCATGCCTTCTCTGTCCTCCCGGGCCCGCAGACGGCAGCACTGGGTCAGCGCTTACTGGGTTCTTGGGCACGAGCCTCCTTGCCCACGGGCAAGGCGAGTGACCGCGCCCTGACTCCCGGGGCCTCAGCGGGGACTCTGCGAGGTCCACCCCCACTGACCCGAGGAATCCTCCAGCGAAGTCCTGTCCGAGAGGGCGAAAGAGACCCCAGGCAGAAATTCAGCCGGGCACGGGTTCTCCGGGAGCTCCGAGCTGTCACGCTGGGGCGGGGAGGAGAGCTCAGGCACCCTGTCCTGGCCCCAGGCCCCCCCACTCCCGGGAGGAAGCAGACGGGCCCAGCGGTGCAGCGAGGAAGAAGCGGGCGAGGGGGGTCACCCGTCCTTGCAGCTGAGCTCCCTGCAGACTCCGGCCCGCGGCCCGGCTCACGGGGAAGTGGCTGCCAGCCTCGCGAGGCACACCCCGGAGCAACTGTTCACCCAAGACCCTCCCGCGCTCGGGGCGGCCCCGGCGGGCCCCGGCTCACTGGCTGCTCCCCACCCAGCGCGGCAGCTTGTGGATCTGCCGCTCCACGGAGATGGAGGTGCGCAGCGTGCCCATGGAGCTCTCGGCCGGGCCGGGCTGGGCGCGCCGGCACAGGCGCTGGTACACCTCGCGGGACTTCTTGCGGAAGCGCTTGCCCACGATGGCGTAGACCAGTGGGTTGAGGCAGCTGTTGCTGTAGGCCACGTAGGAGGCGATCTGCGTGAACACGTCCACCACGTGCTCGTCCCGGCAGCCGGACAGCACGCCCAGACGCAGCAGCGTGTCCAGGAAGGTGCTGACCTGGAAGGGCAGCCAGCAGGCCACGAAGAGCAGCAGCACGGCCAGCACCAGCACCGTGGCCCGCCGCTCCGTCTGCATCTCCTTGAACTTCTGCATCTCGTTGTTGCGCAGCACGCCCATGATCCGCGCGGTGCAGAAGCCGATGACGGCCAGCGGCAGCAGGAAGCCCACCAGGTTGAGCAGCGCGTTGGTGAACACCTCCCAGGCGCGGGACGGGTAGGTGATGATGCAGGCCGTGACGTTGTGGCCCTCGTCCCGGTAGTCCCGCAGCGTGCGGAAGGCCAGCATCGGCGAGCTGAGCAGCAGCGCGCAGCCCCAGATCACCAGGCTGTAGAGCTTGGCCCAGCGCACGCCGCGCAGCCGGCCGGCAGACATGGTCTTCACCAGCGCCAGGTAGCGGTCGATGCTCACCAGCATGAGGAAGCAGATGCTGCTGTACAGGTTCATGTAGGCCAGCGTGTTCACCGTGCGGCACAGCGCCTCCCCGAACAGCCAGTCGAAGTTGTTGGCGATGGTGACGGCCCAGAAGGGCAGCCCGCAGGCCAGCAGCAGGTCGGCGGCAGCCAGGTTGCTCAGGTAGACCTCGGCCACGGTGCAGCGGCTCTTGTGCAGCCCGAAGACGCCGAGCACGAAGACGTTTTCCAGCAGCGCCAGCACGAACAGCACCCACAGGAAGGGCGCCTGCACGCTGTTGAGCCAGCCCCACAGCTCCTCGGGCGGGCAGCCGCCGCCCAGGGCCGGGGTCCCGTTGGCGGGCGGCAGGGCCTGCGCGGTGAGGTTGAGCATGTCCAAGCTGAAAGAGAGGGGGGGCGGGCGGTCACACCCCCGGGTCACAGGGGGAGGAGGCACGATGGAGGCGGGAGGAGGGGCAGCCCTCGGTCGGCTTGCGGAAGGCGGGAGGACACAGTCACGGGGGGAATGGGGCCCTCTCTGTAGCCGGCCAGGCCCAGACTCCGTTTAGGCACCTGACTCCCGGGTCCGGGGTGTGGGGGATGCCTCCTGCCTAAACAGACGGCCCCTGTTCCTGGTCTCGCCGCTCCGAGGGGGTGTTTCCTAGGCCAGCATCCATCCCGGGCACCAACCATCACGAGGCCTGGACCCGGGCCTCCGTGGAGTTTCCGTGATGGGAGGATCCGGAGCACATTCCTTCCGCATCGCGTGGGCCCTTCCCGGAGGCCGCTCACCGCTCAGCCTCCCGTGGTCTGGCCCCAGGTAATTAATTTATTAGGACAGAAACGTGATATCATGCCAGACGGGAAGAGCCCAGCCTGGCTCAGACCACGGCCCCGCAGCCCGCCCTTTCTCCTGGTAGACAGGAATGATCCAACCCCGTCTCTGCTGAATTGGCTCGTAGTGGCAGGCAGCGCAGACCCATGGACGGCCCGTTTCCACGTGGACACAGTGGCTCACCCCGGGAACACCGGCCGCTGAGGCCCCGACGTCAGGAAGCAGGGACAGGGGTCTTCGGGGCCTCAGATTCCTGCCCTGGGCAAACAGGCAGGTCCCGGGAGACAGCCCTCCGTCCAGCGTGGCCCCTCCCTGCAGCCACGGGGACCGGCCTGCCCAGCAGCCCCACGGGGAGTGGGCTCCCCAGGCCCCGCTCAGACAGACCCCCAGAGGCTACCTGTGAGCGCCCACAGACACGAGCCCACAGGGGGCTCTGCCGGTGGGCTCGGGGCTGCAGGACGGCCAGGGGGTGGCCTGGGGGGCATCCGTGGGAATCAGCCACAGGTCCAGCCCAGAAGGCCCTCTGTCATGGCCTCCCTAGGCCACACCCACCACAGGCCCCAGAGGCCAGGCTGGCCCCCTCCCCCTCAGGACTGACCCTCCTCTTCTGCTGCTTCTACTCGGGACAGAGTCCCCCATGCCCCCCCTCTCTCTCGGGTCCTGGCCTTCCACCAGATGTCAGCCACATCCCGTCTCCATGACAACCTGGCGCATCTCCTTGGGACGCCTGGGTGTTGACTTCATGTCCAAGTTCATCCAGGATAGTTCACATATGACCCCCCAAAATGTGTCTTCTTCTTGCACACCCCTCCCCACACCCCATAGAGCCGCCCACTGCCCCCACCACCCTCCTAACCCCCCCCCCCCCCACCCAGCAGGCCAGGGGGAGGCGAGCCCGGCCTCCTGGCCCTGGAGGGGTTCCTCTGACTTTCACATCACCTGTTGCTTCCCCTGAGGGCCAGGAGAGGGCTGCCCTGTGCGGCCCTGAGCGCCCCTGGGGTGGGGGGTGCCCCCGGGGATGGGAGTGGAGGGGCGCTGCTCACCTGAAGAAGGCCGTGGTGGGCACCGGCTCTTCATGGACAGACAGGAAGACCGGCCTCTTCCAGGGAGAGAACATTTGGACTCCGAGCGGGACGTGAGCGAGGCCTCGCCGGGCCGCCTGGAAGGGAAAGGGGTGAGTGGCAGGCGGGGGACCGAGGCGGGAGCGGGGTCCTCCCCCAGCAGGTCTGCCCCGTGCTGGGTGCGGGACGAGGAAGCCCAGCGCCTGCCGCCAGGAGCCTGCCGTCCCCGGGAACCGTCATTACACAGCCCGTGATCTAACCGGAGCCGTCAGCGGGGAGCGGGTGGTGACGGGACCGAGGTGGCGGATGGACGGGGACGGCGGCACTGGGTGGAGCGGAAGTCTGGCCGGAGCAGCTGCAGAGGCCCGGCAGGGGGAGCCGGAGTGGATGCTGCCCGGCGTGGCTGCGGGAGACGGGATTGCGGTGGGTGGGAGGGGTCAGCGTGGACACAGGGAGAGCCGGGGGTGGGTCCTGGAGGAGGCTTTCAGAGACGAACTGGCCTGCCCGGTGCCAGGTTGGACACGGAGGGGCTGGGCAGGAGGAAGAGGAGGTGCCCAGCTCCCCCCACTTCCCCAGGGGCTGCCCTCTCCTGGGAAGGGGAAACTGGGTGGCTGATGTGGAGACACAGGATCAGGCCACCAGGCCTAGCCCTTCCAGTGTGAGGTGCAGGTGGGCAGAGGGCAGGTGGGCAGCTGGGCAGGGGGCAGGGGGCAGGGGGCAGGTGGGCAGGTGGACAGCTGAGCAGTGGGCAATGGGCAGGTGGGCAGTGGGCAGGTGGGCAGGTGCGGGTGTGAGTGGTGTGCAGGGCAGGGCCTGCGGGCGCACAGGCTCACCGGGATATGACGGGGACGAATGAGACGGGAACTCGGACGGAATGAGTGTGAGGAGGGAGGTGGGTTCCCCCTGTGGCTGCCGCCACCACGGGCCTCACCTGGTCCCAGCCACAGGGGGAAGCCCTCCTGCCCAGCGGGCTCCGGGGCCAGAGCCTGTCTCTGCCCTTCCGCCTGGCCGCACCCCAGAGGAGGGAGGCCCGCTGCACGCCGGCCCTGCGGAGGATGAGGGGTGCAGAGGGGCGACTGCCGGCCCGCGCCTCGCTGGCACACCTGGAGGCGGGGCTGCACCCCTCCCGGGCCACCCCTGGGCTCTCCCAGGACCCCGTGGGGCCGTGTGCACAGGTGTACCCCGATCTGCCGCCCGCTTCGGCGAGGGGTCGCGAACGCGCACGGCTGTCCCAGCTCAGTGGCGGGAGGAGGCGATGAGGCTGGGGAAATTGGTCCAGGCGGTGGGACAGGTTAGAAACAACCCCGCTGGCAAGCAGGACGCGAGGGAACGCGGTCAATGGGCGCTCGTTAACGAGGCAGGAACCCCGCAGGGCCGAGGCCACGCCTGGGGACGGACGGACGTCTGAGGAGGGGGGCCCCGGAGGGAGAGGCCGGAGGTGTCACCTCCGTCCGGCGGGCCAGGCTGCCCCGGGGGAGGAAGTGCACGGGGCCGCCTGCTGCAGCCATTCATTCCTCAGGTGCTGAGGTCAGAGGGCAGAGGGGGGCCTCCCACACCCCTGGGACTCCCCTCTGGCAGGGCCCTCCTCTCCTCGCGGACAGTGACGCTGCACAGGGACCCCAGGGCCTGTGAGTGCCACCTGGCCAGGAGTCCAGGGTTCCCCACTGGGTGGTCCTGGCCGGGGGACCCCAGATGTGGGGAGCCAGCCGAGCTGGCCCCTACTTGCTTGCTAATGGCTGCAGACATTGCTCTCGCTTTCAAAGCTTTAGTTCTCAGCTGCCCGGAGGCCGGAGGGCTGAGGACCCGGGGAAGTGGGAGGCGGAGGCCATTCTAGGGCTTCTCTGTGTCGGTTTGGAGGTGTGTGCGTGCATGCGTGCATGTGTGTGTGTTTCTGTATGTGCGCACGTGCATGTTTGTGTATGTGCGCGTGTGCATGTTTGTGTGTGTGCGTGTGTGCCTGCCTGCCTGCCTGCCTGGGGCAGGACCTCCGTGAGAGCTGCTGAGGCCGTGCTCCCTGCAGACCCTGGAGGGCCTCTGGGCTTCCCCTGGGGTCTGGCCAGTGGGGGCCCCAGCAGGAGGCGGAGAGAGGGAGAGAGTGAGGAGGGGTCGCTGCCTCCCAGCCCCCTCCCCGGGGCCTCGGGGCTGGCTGTCAGGGTCCTTGTCCGGCTGGTGAGGCCCCCTCTTGCGAGCTCAGGCCTCAGGCGGGAGGGCGGGCGGGTGGAGCGGGATCTTGGCTGCCCGCTCAGGCCCTGGGGTCCCTGTGGTGCCCGCATGCTGTCCACACTGCCAGCAGGCCCTCTGTGCCCACCCTCCACAGGACCCAGCGCCTCTTTCCTCCTGGGACCCTGACTCACGCATCCTGGGGTTATCAGGCCAGCGGTCAGAGAGGCATTTAAAGGAATTCGGTGAGGGAGCGTGGCGTGGTGAGGTGGGCGCTGACTGGGAATTGAACTGTGACCTCCTGGTTCATGATTCTATGCTCAACCACTGAGCCACACCAGCTGGGCTGCATCTCAACCTCTTAAAAAACCAAACCAAACCCCAAACAGTTGCTCCATAAAGAAGCGCAACCTCCCAGACCACCCAGCACGTCGGGGCCAGGGCCCGAGCTGGACTGCACAGAGGCCTCCTGAGTCACGGCTCCGCCCCTTTCCCCACGCCTCCCCAGATAAATGTTTTCCTGCCCGCGTGGGTGCGTGGGGGCAGGACCGAGTGGGAGCTGCTGAGGGCTGTCCCCGGTCAGGCCACACCCCTGGGACCCTGCGGGGGGGCGGGGGTGCCCACCAGGCTCTGCCGCCTGGCTTCCCCTGGGGGCTGGCCAGTGGGGCCCTCTGAAACCTGACCTATTGAACGATGAGCCAGGATGCCCTCTGTGCGTGGTCACAGGGGGACCCTCAGGCCACAGCGAGTGCGGGTGAGGCAGGGAGGGGCCCGGGGCCCGGATCAGCCTCGGGAGGGGGAGTGCGGCCTCCGTGCAGCTGCCCGGTGTCCTTGGCTCTGCAAACAGACCTGAGCGGCCTGGGGAGGGGCGGCGGGTCCCCGGACGTGAGCTCGGGTCCCAGAACCGAGAGCTTGGGCTCGGCTCCACCTCACACATGTGTGGGCCCGCCAGGATTTGGACAGCAGGAGCCTGGGGTGTTGGAAGCATTTGCAGGGGGGCGGGGTGAGGAGGGCGGCGCGGGTGGGGAGGGGGGCGGGCCTGGGCGGAGCCCCTCACTCGCCTGCGTCCCCAGCAGAGGTCAGAGCAGCCTCGCTGACCTGCTCCCCTCCACACCCGGGGCCCCTTGTCCTCTGTCCCTCGTCCCTGTGCATTGTGGGTAGGCTACTCTGCTCAGCGTGCTTTGTGCCTGGCCCCGGCCTTGGGTTCTGTAGTTTTAATGAATGAGCAACTGTATCTGGTATCCGGACACCACTCCTTCCACTTAAAAAAAAAAAAAAAAAAGGTCTCCCCTTTGGGTTTAAAATTAACAGGACCACACTAAAGAGCATGTAAACATAATGAGGTCTCCCGGAGTTCTGCCCTGGCCGGTGTAGCACCGTGGTTAGTCGGCTCTGGTCCAGGTCAGAGGTGACTGGGGTCAGGGGCACTTCCAGGCCTGGAGGGGCTGAGGGAAGGGAAGGGTGGGGTTCCTGTCCAGCACTGTCCCTGGCCTCCCTGCCAGGACCCTGGGTAGCTGCGTGGGAAGCTCTGGACACTTGTATCAGTTCCCTCAGAGACGGGCCACCGAGGCCCAGAGAGGTGGCCGTTCTCCCAGGACGTGGCTGGCGCGTGGCAGAGCCCTGCCGTGAGCCCAGGGTGTGGAATCCTGGTCCCCAGACCTCCTGCTTTATTTTTATTTTTCATCATCCTACTCCTGCCCCCATCCCGTGCGGGATTCAGAGCTGTGTGCTAACGCCTGGCTGTAAACGTGGTTACACCCCAAGCCCCATGCCCGCCGCCCATGCCAGGCTGAAGCCCTCAGCGTCGCTGCCCTGGGTGGATGGCAAAGATGTCCTCTTCTGCTTCCTGCACGCCCCCGGGTTTCTGCCCAGAGCAAGTGAGTAATTTATGAGGAGGGGCATGTAGAAATTCTTGTGTCCAGCCGTCATTGCTCAGTGGTTGAGCGTCGATCTATGAACCAGGAGGTTATGGTCTGGTCAGGGCACATGCCTGGGTTGTGGGCTCGATCCCCAGCAGGGGGCGTGCAGGAGGCAGCTGATCAGTGATTCTCTCATCACTGATGCTTCTCTCTCCCTTCATCTCCCTTCCTCTCTGATATAAATAAATAAAAAAAACCAACAACAACAACAAATCACCATCACCACCACCACCAACAACAAAATGTTCTTGCCACAGAGCAAAAGCCAGTGCCATGGGCCCAGCAGGAGTGCTTGCCAGACACGAGGTCGCAGGGCCTGCAGGCCTGGGCGTGCTGAAGAGCATGCTCCCAGCCGCAGGCGCCCGCTCCCTGGAGGGCCGGGGGCCGCGAGGCAGGCCCTGCTGGGCTGGGAGGAGAGGGCAGCCGGCCAGGGGCCTCAGCCAAGCTGGCGGCCGGCCCGGCTCCTCGGCCACACGCAAGTGTGTGCCGTGACCTCTGGTCACCCAGCCTGGTTTACAAAACAAGGGAAGACACAATAAACGGAGCCTCTGGGCCAGCTGCAGAGCAAAACAAGCCACGGGGCCAGAGATGTTAGGCACCTGAGACTCCTCACAAGATGCCCTCGGTTCTGCAGGGGCCTCTCCCACTGCCTGCTGGCTTCTGGGGGTGGCCTTCCTGCCCATTCATTCATCCATTGATCCATCGATCCATTGATCCATCCATCCATCCATCCATCCATCCATCCATCCAGTTAGTGTGAGGCAGAGCAGGAAAGAGCTCAGACGTGGCGGGCAGGACACAACGAATTGGGGCCTCAAGCCACATCCCAGTGCCATCTCTTAAGGGCCATCTCCCCTGTCACCTCCTCCGGGAAGCCTTCCCTGACCTCTCTGCCGGCAGAGATCCCTCCCTCGTCCGAGACTCTCTAGCCAAGAGGTGGGAGGAGCCTTGTCTGAGCTCCAGAGCCCGGGGGCCAGGCCCGCCTGCATCCCTGAGTTCCAGGCGGGACCCGGATAAAC